CCTCAGTCCAGTAGATCCCTAAGTCCCGCGGGCCCCTCAGTTCCGTGATGTATTGTCACTGCTGCTCAGCTGTTCTGCCATTCATCTTGTTCCTGAAGGCTCACCTGCTCTGTCATGACGTAGCCACGACGAGCAGACTTGACGCTGCCACGGCAAAATGTCTTGAATGACAGCCTGCGACGTGCTGAGCAACAGCTTCAGCGCGTCTCTGTCTGCCCCAGAAATTGTTTATATGTTCCATCTTCCTTATTGTCTTGTGGTACATTATTGAAGCCTTCTCTTGCCCCCAGCATCCCATGCCCCCAGCATCCCATGCCTGCCGTATCATTGTGCTCTCTGCCACTCTTCGCCCCGCCACGGCCGTCGCTCGATATTTCTAAAAGTGCTGCGGTCTTGGCAGTTGTCGCTATGATCAAGCCTCAGGAAGCTTCCATTAACTCAATTAGCGTAAAATTATGTCTGTCAGCACTATTTAGGCTTTAAAAATAACCGCGTATTGAAAGAATTTGCTTTAATGAATACTTTTGCGGCAGTGAATGTGAATCTATTATGAATACAACGTCATTGGACTCGAGGAGACCCTCTGAAAATATGTGAGATGTTATAACGAGCCTCTGTTCAAATAACCTGCTTCTAATTTATGGGGGCTGGTCGCCAGCCTGCATGCGGCGTCGATTAGCAGCCGCTCAGCAGAATGTGCCGCGCCTCATAATCTCATTGCGGTACATAATTAATCTTTTGAACGTGAGAAATTATCCGGCTGCTGCTTCATTAAGTATGCAGGCAAGTGGTCCTCGTGGGACCAAATTTCCCGGCGCTCAGCCGAAACGCTACCGTTCAAGCGACTTCAACTGTCGTTTCGGTCAGAAAAATAAGGGAAACTCGGATAGTTTTTATTTTATTCTGGGACGTTTCTGTGAATGAAAAAAAGGCTGAATGAGGTAGTCTATGGCAACAATATAATTATACTACTTCTGTCTGCAGAAAACTGTTCTTGCTGAGCTCATACATGTTTCTTTGCATATGAAATTAGTGACATGTTTTCTTAACCCATTGAGTCCCACTGGCTGTCCTAAAAAATGACATCAAAATAATTTTCTGTAAAAGTAGAAAAAATTTAATGTCATTCCTGAATACATTATTACATTTGGACAGAAGTATATCGTGACGTATGCGGATTTTTTGGTGACGTGTGGGATGGCGCCAATTCTTTTTTTTTAAATACTCGCATATATTTTTTGTCTATGAAATTACGACGGTTCATGAATTGTTCACATTAGTGAAAAAAAGTTATGCCGGCCCTGCAGGAATTCTCTTGCTTTATCCACAATGCGACAATTAACCTCTGTTCACGTCGATAAATCTTGGTGTATAAATTCTGGCTTAAAAATTCTTAAATTTATCTACTAAAAATTTCGATAAATTCTGGCTTAAAATCAAAATTGGAGGAGCTTAATAGCAGTAAAACATGGTCGTATTGTAACTGCGGCTCAGTTCAAACTACCAGCTAGGCCCTAGCACTCTCTTCCTTTTCATATATGACTCGTGATTATACTTACCCACTCCCCAAATGATAAGAAATTACGCGAATTTCAACAATGTCATTATGCCGAGCCTATATGCAGGCGGTTTCGGTCCGGTCCCCCCAAAATACCCACTTGGAGAGCCGTTCTCTAAACTAATCAGTATTGTTCATCGTTCTTAATCTAACGACATCGTAGAAAAACTCTCGCAAAGGATACGAAGTTCGCTAACTCATGCAAATGTCGCAGAAATTAGTCCATTAATTTAATTTACTTAATCCTTCATCCGCTTCATTCCTCCTTTATCGACCCCTCAGCCCTGGACCGCCTTTCCCCCGTTATCTACTCGAGCATTCATCTTCCCCACCGACAGGGAAGAATGAAGCCCCACTTTCATCAGCGGAACTTTAATGCCAGCGATTCATCCTGCGCTGCGGCGCTACACTGGCCCGAACTTTACTGAAGAGTCTAGCGAAGAAGTTGCTGCTGAGCTTAAATCTGCCACTGCCTTCTTGCCATGTCATCGCACCGCCATAAACCCGGTGTTTTTTCGAGTCTCTCAATGTATTTAAACCCATTTATATAGTCAATCTCCAAATGTGCAACGCTAACCTAAGTGCTCAATGTTGACGTTACTTTCATGGTCTTACATGCGTAATCTGGGCCTATACCTTCAAAAAAAGTTAAGAGATCGCAAGTTCTTGAACCAATCATTGACGGTCTTTCAAGCAAAATCTACCAATCATGGACAAGAAAATAGAGCGTAAGCACTTACGTTCACTTAGCGAATTTTGAAGGTATGGCCCAGGGCAATAACGGTTAAGTATCTATGGTGCGGAGTGTCGTCACGAATTGTAGTCCATTAGGCGACGAGTGAGCGCAGTCAAGGCCAGACAGGATCTGTCAATTTGCATGCATATAATGCCGTGTTGTGCGACTCCTTGCTGCCGTCTTGTGTAGCGCGTCTGTCGGGCGCTATGTTCCTGTCATTGCCTGTCTCAGGAACACTCCTTCTCCAGCCCGTGTAATTATATAGTTATTTCCAGCAAGTCTGCTTCATTAGAAACAATGTTACACAGTTCCATGTATTATATATGTACTATTAGCGATGTATTACTTTGATTAAATAACAAATTTACCTTGCTTATAGTATAGGCATTCTTTCTAGAAAACGAATTTTACTGTAGCCTCTCACATTTTACGACAAAAGTTTGGAATTTTCAGGGACTGATTTTGTGTTGCCTATTATATTCTCTCGGAGGTTCTCTCTGAGGGCTTATTAGCCACCGCCGCCGGCAACAAGTTTTCCGGCTTATTTTATGAGTCTGGCTGCTCAGGTCAAATGCTTGTTCTGAGAAAATTTTGAAAGATGTTAATGCTAAAGCGATAAGTGTTTTAAAATATCCTGGCTGAGTACATTGCTGACGTTTCATATATTTTCATATCTAATACTCACCCTTCCGAGTGAGAATGAATTCTCAGTAAATAATCAATAAATGCCTCATTGTGCGACTCGTCACCTCCATGTAGTGGTGAAAAATTTGCCAAGTCTTTAATGGCGCTAACGAACTTCATTTCTTTCCTTTCTCAATTACCAATGGCCTGTCAAAAATTCTTACAACTATAAAGAATGCATGAACAGTACTTGCACAAATGATTTTAAATAATCAAGCAAAAGCTAAACTGATGGGGGAAAGAGGCGCTGCAGGCCACATCACTTCAGCGGATGAACGTTTCTATCGGCGCAGGCAAAACGCATTATTGGGCATCGATTGGATCGGCAGTTTTACGGCACTCTGAAGTCGAAATGGTGTTACTCTTTTATTACCTCATTAGCCCTGAGTATGAGAATACGATGAATTAGCATGAATGACATTAAGATTAAACTGAATTTATAGTTTTGAAGATTACGTCCGTTTTTTTCTAAATTATTCGGCTAACAATAGCTCCGCTAACGTTTCATTTTCTAGTGACGATCCAGCTTCTTCATAAGAGCACCAGGTCTCACCTTCTAAATGTGGTGTCGTCGCCTCTCTGTTGACCCTGTCTTTCTATTGTAAGCTATTCGTTTAAATTTGTGTGTCCGTTGTAATCCAGAATGTCGGAGACGACTATCGTGCAAATTTTTATGTCGTACAGCTTTATTGATCAATTAATGCCGGGATCATACCTGCTCTGTGTTTCAACTTATCTTTGTGCCAAGCAGTGCAACCCACGCATTCTCTACTACTCAAAACATTTCTACCATTATATGTTTGAACATTTCTTCGATGATTAATTAGCTATTTGAAAAGGCCCCGATTCTTCTTAAATGAGATGGCATTGCTGCATTCTTAGTCAAGAATCATGGTAAGCATTTTTTACGGACAAATGCCAATCTACAATCGTATGAATGCGTTTACAATGCTACGGTAGTGCCGGAAAGACAACTTTGGCGCCGTTATTATAGCGCCACTCTTACCCTTACAAAATTCAGAGGCGTGGTAGCTTCTGATTCGAGGAATCAGAAGCTGATGCGGAACTGAATTCTGATTGGGTAGATGCTGAGCCATGTCGGCTCTGCTGGGCTGTGTCTCGACCGCAGCGGCAGTGAGCGGCACTAGCGCGGCGCCTATGCGGCGCTACCACTTCGCGGTTGACTGCATGCCGGCACCAAATCAGCGCCGTGTTGGCAGTGGCCTGAATGCGTCTGTCTCATTCAGTTCATGATATAATTCAGCCCTGTGGTACCTGATCACAGATACACTCACAGAAATTAATGAGACTTTGTACAAGAAGCGAAGCAGTTTTTGCTCATGAGTGGGTCATTCTGAACCAGTTTGGCATGGTAATAGGGCGTATCATTGCTACGTCCGCTCTCTGCTCTGAGTGTGGGAAAGGGCGTCACTATGTGGACAATCTGACACATTTATTTTTCTGAGTGTAGGCAAAATTTTACACATGCGCATGTTCAGCACACGAAAAATATTCTCAATTGCAAAAAAATAAAGAATGAGTGTGAAAAATCTCGTTCTAGATTAATGTATGTTTTTCAATATGGATGTAATTAATAAGTGAATAAACGTGCACATCCTGATATTTTTATAATTGAAATAATTTTAAGCATATTTTACATGCGTCTGCGCAACTTATTACTGTCAGCGAGCAAACACCACGGCGCTGCAGTTGTTCACTCGACGAGATATCGCGATTATATCACGATACTTGGTGAGTTTTACCTCATATGGTCGCTGTTAAATTGTGCTGACTAAGTATTATCATCGATGCAATTTGAACCACATTAGGTGTAAGTAAGTAAAAATGAGTTATTCTGGGAGCCTCCATCCTAAAATTGAGAACACTTCTGCTAGGTCCCTTTGAATTTAATTCGTGAGTAATATTTTCCATCGTAAATTTTACGTGTGAAATTTTCTTATAAATCTCAATTGCGCGTCATCCGCGCTGAGGTTCACCACTCCGAAAAAATTGCTTAATATCCAACGACAAAAATATAGAAATGAAATCTTTACCTTTTTTAGATATACAGCAGAATATTTTAGAGAACTCATCGCTGCTGCCTCGTCAATACGACAGATCAGCAAGCTCTGGAATCTCAATCAGTGTCAAGATGGCGAGTTAGGTTTTCGCAGTAAACTTCATGCAGTTTCTAGGGTGAGACGTCACACCCAGTGCACCTGGAAAACTGTCAATGTCTAAGGAATCTTATTCCATTCTATCATCATAAATCTTTATTACTCCGTGTAAAAAGTTCATGTTATATAAAATAGCCGGCTGCACGGTGGTACTGTGGCAGCCAGCGGGCGCTTGGAGCACGATGATGGCAGTAAACGGCAGCATTCCGGCACTAACGCGGCTGATATGGTGGCAGTAAACGGCAGCATTCCGGCACTAACGCGGCCGATCATTACCGACGTTTGTAAGTTCCTAGCGGGTTTATGTATGCATCTTGCTACGAACGAGGATAATAATGACGCTCTGCCACATGGCGGTACCTTCTCACAAACAGGCGCGTCATCATCTGTTGCGTGGAACTAAATTTTCTCTATGATTTTCGCCCTCCCTCGACTTTGTTAGTTTAATTGCCGGTCAATTATATTAGATTTTTCTCATTGTTTCCTTGTTGTTCCATCAGTTACTGGGACGGTGTTCTGCTGACATCATTCAGAACCATCGTGCGGGGTATAACTAATTAACAATGCCTTGTCAAACAGAGCATGGAAACACAACTTATCCTGAATCTTTGATTTTTGTGCAGCGTGAGCCTCAGCAGCTTCGACTCTGATGGAGAGGAACCTTTCTACGACGCCGAGGACGCCCCCAACGACAGAGGTCTGCCTATAGCTGTGCTAGGTGTGCCTATAGCGGTGCTAGGTGTGCCTATAGCGGTGCTAGGTGTGCCTATAGCGGTGCTAGGTGTGCCTACNGGCTGGGGTGTGGGGTGTGGGTGTGATGCGTGGTGGTGATGGGAGTGTGGTGATCTTTGTGGGGTGTGTGGGTGGGGGTGATGTTTTGTGGTGATTGAAGGGGTCTGGTGGGTGCAGTGATGGGGTCTGATGGTGGCAGTGATGGAGTCTGGTTAGGTTAGGTGTCGGGGTCTGATAGTGGCAGTTATGGGGTCTGATGGAGGCAGGTAAAGGGTCTGGTGGGTGCAGGTGTCGGGGTCTGATGGAGGCAATTTAAGGGTCTGGTGCACTAAGTAGACCGTATACCCCACAGGACGGACGACGAGGATCAGGGCAGCAGCAAGAGGCGCAAGCGAGGCTCCATCTTCTTCAGGAAGAAGAAGGTGAGGCGACGTCCGCTGCGCGACACGCGTGCGTGTGGGGAGTGCAGGCATTTGTTTGCATCGGAATATAATATATTATATGTTTATCTATGGTTAGTAAAATCATCTTTATGGAGAGGCACCCATGCGTGAATGTTCATAACATACGGGTGCGTGTAACTAACTCATGCGTGTGTACCGGCAGGACAAGACACGCAAGACGTGTCACCAGTTCGTGAGCGTGTGTGGTGCGTGTAACTAACTCATGCGTGCGTGTACCGGCAGGACAAGACACGCAAGACGTGTCACCAGTTCGTGAGCGTGTGCTTCAGCAACTCTGCCACGTGTGATGTCTGCGCTAAGCCTCTGGTCAACAAGCCTGCCCTCAGATGCGAAGGTGAGGCTTGCCCTCTGATGTGAGGGTAAATTAAGGCTTCTTCTTGGAACAGGGGCTCAGGTATGTCATTGATATTGAAGTGAGGCTTGGTAGGGCTGTGAGGCTTGGTAGGGCTGTGAGGCTTGGTAGGGCTGTGAGGCTTGGTAGGGCTGTGAGGACACTGCTTGATTGGCCTAAAATTACTTACTACTGTCTTCCAAGCTGCGATACAAAGTGCGCATAAAAAATGGTGCAATGAGAATGCGTTTGTGCGTTTGAGGATGATAAATCTATCGGGCCATATAATATTACAGCAGTGATGCTGTCACAATGGTCAATGAACCGATCTTGCAGCCATTATCAATGAGCCAGCAGTTAAGTCAAAGTATAAAGAAAGATCAAGTTGTGCTCAGGCTGGGAGGTGTGACCGCTTCACACCCAAAGTCTTAAAATCAAATAAAAATAATAATCAGTGAGCCTAAAATATTTCCCGAACTACTGTACAGATTTCTATGAAAATTTGCTCATGTATCCATTACAGCCTTTTGGTCATGTTTAGGTCGTGAGAAATTGTATATATACAATCTGGGTTTATTGAAATTATCTTGCAAGTTCAGGAGTTCAGACACCTCTGCCGCTGCTCAATAAAGTAACAACTGGTCAACAAAAGATTCGTCTTTTTCGCTGACGATGAAGAATAAAGCTGCATATTTTGTTACACGAACAAGAGCGGCCAGTGTTCATCTGCTCGACTGTCTCTTGTGACGTGTGGTCGTCAGTGTCAGTTGTTGATGAACGACGTAGTTTAATAAGAAGGGTTTGACTAAAGGCTGCTGCCGAACTAATGTGTATATAGTGCCTTATCTGTTGGATGTCGCCGCAGAGGAAATTACCTTAAAAGTTTTGTGAATGGTGGCTTCGGTGTAGTTACGATTATTATTTGTACCAGTGTTATAGAATTACGACTGAGTCAACTTCTTAATTCCGATTGTGGCGCCAAGTTACACGCAGGCATGTTGCATAAAAACGTGAACTAATTTCAAAATTTTAAACGAGAACAGATTTCAAATTTTCATTTCTTGAGTTGCTCCTGCTGTGATGCTCACACCTTAAATATATAATTTTATCGACAAGTTTTGGTTAATTTCAGGTTTCAGCTACGAAAGTTCTTTCTTTTACCGTGTGTGCTTTTTTCCTGGAATGTCGCAATGATGGTCACGGTGAGATCTTTGCTGTGGTAGTCACCCCCGAACCGCACTGTTATATACTTTAGTCGCAGCTTCTGTGATCCTCGTGCAGTCCTGAGTGTCATTCGTGGAAATAATTTGATTACCTGCTGAAGAAAGATTGCCCCTGACAGCCAACTGATGCGTATAGTTATACCACCATCAACATCAGCCCGTCCGCACAATGGTCAAGAAAGTTTTATCGTACCTACGCCGCAGCACCGAGCGCAACGCTCCCGTTAGTCCCAGCGAAAATGGCGTGCACCCCTCCGACCCCGACAGCCGTGATCCAACACCCGGCCCCAACTCCCTGGAGGCCGCCCCTCCACAGGCTAATGGAGGGAAAAAGAGTACCGATCTCAGGGACACTGAGAGGCCTCTTGCCAATATTTCAATTGAGCTGCAAGGTTGTGGAAGAAATGATAGTTCCACCACCTTGAGGTCTCGTGAGAATCTGTCTGTTAATAAGATTGAACGTGCCTCTGAGTCGAATATTGATAACTCTTTTAATAATACAAAGTTTAATAATTCTCTGGTGCAAGATACGTCCCGTATCTCATGTAATTTAACATCTGATGCCCAAGATATTAAACCGGATTCCTCGCCATGCGAACTAACGTACCGCAGTTCCGATACCATCGAAAGGCTTGTAGTGACGCCCAACGGTTCAATTTCAACGCGGAAAGAGGCCGCTTCTGCCGTAGAAATGTTCTCTGCTTGTCACTTCAATGACACCGCAGAATTACCTCTTCTTTTTCCTGACGAGGATCCTGTCCACCTGTCTGCTTGCAGAGCTCCCACGGAAGATGGTGGCGGTAGTGATGAGAGCGAAGACCCCTCCAAATATTCCCAGACCAAACGCTCCGATGCGATTACAGTTTTAGAGCTAAATGTTGCTGGTTATTATTCACCAATGACCGAAGTGCATTCAGAAACTAAATTACACGCCGAGGCGAGAAATGAAAGCGAACCCATCGAGCAGGAGGATGGAAATAGCGGGGTGAATGGAAGTGAATTCGACGAAAATAATGACGAAGAGAAGAACAAATGTGACATCCATTGGACCTTTAGCCCACCGGTCTCTAGGACGCAATCCGAACATTGTCTTCGAGACAGTGGTCTGCATTTAGACGAGAGTTATCACCTGGCTAGGTGCACGCCTCCATTACAGCCCATACTGGAAGATTTTCATGATGCCGAAGAGATTCTTGACGCTTCGTTTTTCACGAATGCCGGTGTCAAGGATGGTCTTGATGCCGAGTCGTACGACGATTGCAGCGCCCACCCTCAATCAGTGAAACGCAATCTCGACCCCCGCAAAAGTGTGTCCATGTCCTGCGTTATGAAGACGACCAACGGTAGACCTTCCATATCCCCAGAGTGTTCGACTGATGACTTGAACAATTTGCCCCTTGACGAGGCCTCGAGAAGAGCGCTGAAGAAAGATCGTCTTCGAGACCTACAGCCATATTCGAGAAGCGTGGCTCTTCGGCCGAGAGCTTCTAGAGCCCTCAAGAGTTTCCGGCAAAGTTTGTCGGCATCAAGTCTCAAGTACACGGAGTCTTGGCACAGTTTCCAGAAGAAGTTTTCATCTCCGGTCACTAAACTGCACAAGTTCAGCAGTGTTGCAGACCTGCCGACGGTAACTAACGATGCTAATTTATCCACTAAGCTTGCGTTGTTGTCTCAAAAAGGCAGCCCACAGAAGAAGAAGTCAAGTATTAAAAGCATACGCAAAGCTTATTCATTTAATTCTCCAAAGGATGGAGCGAGAGGTGCGTCCCAATCGCTGCTTTGTGCTATTGTCATTACCTGATGTTAAAATTTGTATCAAACGCTCTGTATTTACATTGGCTCCCACATGATTCTGTTGCCATCTCAAATTTCGAATTTCCTCGTCTTGAAAGCCTTGCTGTGTTACGTTACATCTCATGATTAAATTGCTCCTTTACTCTTTGCTTGAGAGGTTGGTTATGATAAAGTGCACCTTTATATAGCGCAAAATGCACGTAATGCTGACCGGAGCGTATATTGTCATCAATTAACATATACAATACCAGGAATGTTGGGTAGATTTGGCATACGACGTTGTCGTGATGTTCGGTTAAGACATTGCTAACATATTCTAGGTTCTTCTATATTCTAAGTATTAAGATTTTGAGACTAACAGCAAAACAACAAAAACTATTAAATTTATACATGATAAGCTATAATAACCAACGTTGGAATAATGAATATGGCTGTCACGTCTGCATGGCCTGATCGTTCGCCCAGCAGCTCGGTTTTAAGCGACGTTTGTAAAGAGGAAGGCGCTGTCACATGCGCGCTGTCGCTGGATCTTTTTTTAGTTTATAACATTACATTTTGAATTTAATTAAGAATTTCGTACATTTTTGAGGTAAGGAATGCTGATTACCTTTTTTCTCATATTTATTATTATATTATTTTTCTCTTAGAATATATCCTAAAATACTTTACTATCTTCAGGGGGTAATTTTACCCGTACGTTTCTTGACAAAATGCCACGTGGGTGAACTTCGAATCTATTAATTTAATTCCCACAAATTAACTATAGGCTCTCCTCCGTGCGCACGAGTATTTTGTCAAAAGTTTGTCATATTAGCAGGTGGTTATTAACAGTTGGTAATTACCAAGGTACTTTAGTTATGAGGGCAGTAATTACAAAGGTAGATGTTAGGGCAGTAGAGGTAGACATATTTATGGTTGGATGAATTTAGGTTGATAATATTTGGATAATCTGGGTTGATAGGCCTGCCGCCACGTTAGCTATGCGACTCTAAGCTGTAGAAGGAAAATCATTGATTAATGTAGGCTGTATATCTAGAAATAACATTTTGACTTGTCCGTACTTCACTGACGACAAGAATTGTTATCCATAGGCTATATTTCTAGAAACATTTTGAATTTATCCATATTTATCTGAAGACAAGAATTGTTATCAATCTGAAGACAAGAATTGTTATCATACCCTCAGCACTTCCCGAAGCCCGGCACGCCGCTGAGCGCGGCCACCAAGAGTTCGAGTCTCGGGTCCAACCCCTCGAGCTCCTCGACACTCTCCAGCAGCGTCCTGGC